TACTTCATCTTGTTTTTTTTTAATTTTTTATGTTTAGCACAGTGTCTCAGGCCAAATTTTGCCGAAATTGAAAAGGAGAAATTTCTCTGTTTTTATAATTTTTCCTGATACATATACATGTTCTTATGTTGTATAGAAAGTTTGAACTGGTTTTAATCAAGTTTGGATTTTTTTTACAAATTTTGAAGTTGCTCAAAAATCATGTCAAAGTCCCTGTACTACCATATAGCCAGAAAATTTGGCGGTCTAAAACTTTGGCGGTTTTGCACCAAAACTGCCTAAAGACATGTATAATATTGGCGGTCTCTTAATTTGGCAGTTTACTATCTTGTCTTTTCTTTAAGCACTCTCAGCTCTTCTTGAAGCTACTCCTTGCCAGTCCTTGCCCACAGTCTTGACTGAAATAGTGAGAAATACTCAGAAATACTGTCATTTTGGCATTTTTTAGTATCATGTGCTCATGATGTGATCCGCCCATCATTGAAATTATTATTGGCGGTTATAATATTGGCAGTTTTATTTTGAACCGCCAATCCGCCAAATTTAATTCTCCGCCAAATTTTCTGGCTATACAGTATAGCACAGTGTCTCGGGCCAAATTTTGTATTGTGTAGAAAGTGAGCTGATTCCCATCAAAGTTGGATTTTTTATGAATTTTAAAAGTTGCTCAAAATTTTGTCAAGGTCATACAAATGTATAAATGCAGAGTCATTGGCCAAATTTTGCCAAAATTGACTAGGAGAGAATTCTACATTTTTTCGATGCATGATTGTTCTTATTCATGTACATGTACATGTATGTTATGTAGGAAATTTGAGCTGTTGAATTTTGAACATTTAAAATTTGACAAATTTTCCTCAAGTATGGCTAGTAAATAGTTTGAGCTGATTTCCATTAAAATTGAAAGTATTTTTAGGATGGGAGACTCAATTTCAGGAATTAATTATTAAAATTAATACAGACTGTTATTGCTATTTTATACTCACAAATTTTTAAACAAAAATATTTATTAATATTTTTTATTTTAGATAATATTGAAGAAATGGTAAAGCCAGAGCCTGAAGTCCCTCCTCATCAGTTCCTGGCATTCTCTCGTGTGTTTAGTGGAACACTGAGAAAAGGTCAAAAACTATTTGTACTACAGCCTCGCTACGACCCCACCCTAACCTCAAAACCTCTCCTTTAAACCACACCCACTCAAGAAGACGTGACCCTCCCACCTCATGTAACCATGGTAACCATCACTGAACTCTATCTCATGATGGGCCGGGACCTTTTGGAGGTGGAGTCTGTTGCCCCCGGCAACGTAGCCGGTATTGGTGGACTGGGTGATAGCGTTATTAAAAGCGGTACTCTCTCCTCTTCACTGGCTTGTACTTCATTCAGGGAATTACAGTCAGTTGCTTTTCCTATCGTACATGTCGCACTAGAAGCTGTTCATTTCTCTGACCTACCATCCCTTGATAAAGGACTCAAGCTACTTGACCAATCAGATCCCTGCGTTAGATGTACGTATCAGGAAACTGGAGAGAGGATTCTATCAACTGCTGGAGAGGTTCATCTTCAGCGTTGCCTTGACGACCTCCGGAATGTCTATGCAGGGGTGGAGCTTAAAGTGTCTCCTCCTATTGTTCCATTTAGGGAGACTGTTATTGCCAGACCGACTGTTGATATGGTTAATGAGATTATATCGTCAGAGAATGAGCTGATTGGTCAGTGTACCGAAAGCCACGCCTCTAAAAATAATGGACCCGTTACATGTTCAACTCCTGGGAACAATCCGCATCTCATTAAAATATTAGCCACACCCCTTCCCGAGACTGTAGTTGATGTATTGGATAGATCCTCTCATTTACTTAAAATTTTGACTTCGATGGGTGGAGCTAGTTACCATGGTAATGAGGAGGGTGTGGTTGGAGGTCTCCAGACCTTGTATGAGGATTTAAAGAACAAGCTTGAGACTGCAGACAAAAAGAAATGGGACGGAGCCATTGACCAAATATGGTCGTTTGGCCCTCGTAATTCCGGGACGAACATCCTCTTAAATAGAATCAGTACTTATGAGCGACCTTCGATTTGGAAGGGTGTGGCCAAACAAGAAAAGGGTGTGGTCGATCAGAAGGCCACTGATCCCGTTTTAAGAAATTATGATAATTCGATTATTAGCGGTTTTCAATTAGCGTCACTTTCTGGTCCACTTTGTGAAGAACCCCTCCGTGGTGTCTGTTTTGAGGTACTTGAATGGACAGAGCCCGCTAGTGAAGATGAGACTGAACAGGATACTCTAAGGGGGCCTGTGTCTGGTCAGTTAATATCAGTTGTTAAGGAATGCTGTCGTCAAGCTATGCTAGCTCAACCAACGAGATTAGTAGCACCAATGTACTCTTGTATCATACAGGTACTGATATTATTGTTATTGTAATACATGTAGTTACTAGTTAGTATATGTATTACATGTACATGTATGTATGGGGTTGGCTTGTGTTATCAACACGAGCTTGAGTTACTAAAATTAGTGCACTTGGGTCTTCAGAATTAGCTTAAAATTTTTTTGCAGCACGAGCATATCTTTTTATCAGAAAAAAATTATAAACATTGAGAATTCTCTTTTAGTCATTTTTGGTGACATTTGGTGAAACATGGACTTTCACCTGATTTTTGAGTAACTTGAAAAATTGGTAGAAAAAAAATTAATTTTGATCAGAATCAGCTCAAACTTTCTACACAGCGTAAGAACATGTACATGTATATGTATCAGAAAAAAATATATACATAAATGGATAATTCTCTCCTAGTGATTTGGCAAAATACGTACCCTGATAGATTAAGTGTTTTGTCAAAGTTTGGAGCAATTTAAAAAAATTCATAAAATCCACTATACCAGAATCTTGTGTAAAATGTGCATTATGTTTTTTATCACTGTACAGGCAGCTACTAGTGTATTGGGATTTGTCTATGCAGTGATTGGTAGGAGAGGTGGGCGTGTCATCTCTGAGGAAATGGTGGAAGGAGCTGATTTATTTGTCATACAAGCATTGATACCAGTTGCTGAGTCATTCGGCTTCTGTGATGAGTTTAGGAAACAAACAATCGGACAAGCTAATCCACAACTAGTGTTCTCTCATTGGGAGGTAAGGAAAGAGATAGTGAGTACTATAGATACTATTTGTTGTACATGTATATACTATAGTTACTATACATGTAAGATCAAAGGCACCGCCAGGTGGTATATTACGCATATACACCCCCACATGGTTTTAATGATATTCATAGTGCCACATGGTGAAGAAATGGCTGCCTTTTCTTTTTCATTACTGAAATGTAAATAAATTGTTGTAGTCAAGATGCATCTATACTAAAAGAGCCTACATGCATAAGGTAGAATTATTATAAAACTACTGTTTAGTTTAGTGGAGTTTTATTTTTGAAACTACTAATCGTTATTGTTCATGGTACATAAGTAATGCATGTGTACACAAAAATTTCCAAAATAATGCACTGCCAAAATAAAGCACTATATGGGAGTTAAACTACTACATCTAAAATTTTATGCCAAAAATGACAGAACATTGTCAAAAAATATGTCACTTTTAAAAGCTCAAAATTGCATCTGTAATTCTGTACAAAAATAAAATAAAATCTACAGTCCAGCCATTGTCTTTGTATATTCAATAGGTATTGCCCTCTGATCCATTCTGGGTACCCTCCACTGAAATGGAATTAGAGCATTATGGAGAGAAAGCAGACACTGAGAGTCAAGCAAGAATATACATGAACTCAGTGAGGAAAAGGAAAGGACTGGCAGTGGATGAGAAGATTGTTGAACATGCAGAAAAACAAAGAACATTAAAAAGAAACAAGTAATAGTAGGAGACAGGCTATATTATTTTTTTATCATAAGCTGTTGTAATTAACATGATGCATTAATTTTATGAGTATGTACTAAAGTATTATAAACAATGTTTGATGTTTATTTTGGGACCAAGTTTTATACTGAAAGCTAGCGTGTAGTCAGAAGTCACAACTAAAAGTGCTAAATTAATAATAATGCACCAAATTTTAATGAACACTTTTAAAATAATGTGATCCAATTATTAACAGTGGTCTGTATTGAGTGAGTTTGATTGACATGATTGTGTTAAAACTGTCAATAGTAGTCAAGTTGTCAAGAAGTGGCTCTTGAACTTGAGCAAGTAACACACACTATTGATCAATCAGTGACTGTCATGCAGCCGGAACCACTTCAGTACTGCTGATCTAGCTTTTACAGCCAAGAATTTTGATCTGAATTATGACTGATAACTGATTTCAGTCATGACTAATAAGCCTGATGTCCAATCCGCCTAGCATGATAAAATTATGATGATCAGTCACATGCAACACAACCATGCTGCTGGTCTGGTACAGCCAGAGCAACAGGCATGATTCAACATTTATACCTGTCAGGGCTATATAAAAATAGTAATCAGGCTTGATTCATTGATTTTGGGTAATGGTCTGTATCTGTGTCTACATGTATATCATCATAGACATACCTATGGTATCAGGGACTTGGCCCTGCAAAAAGTCAAGTTTTTACCGCAAAACTGCAATATCGCTGAAGGATTCACAGTTTAATCAAGTATCATGAAAACAATGAACTTGTGAGGCCCAATTATCATAGTCTAATCATTATAATAATCGGATAAGACATAATGCTATGGTGCAGGCTATAATGATCTGTACATTTCCGTATATCAAACGCAGTTTGGGTTTGCTCACTTTGCTTGTTTTCACTTCCCGCATACAGTATCTATGCTTCCAGCCTCCGGTCTTCCAGCCAGTCGCAATCACCGCCGTACTTCAGTTCTGGTGATGGCAACAAAAGCAAAAGGTCAGTAAACGTCTTGGATTGAGTGGCTCTAGGGCCTACGGGAGGCTAAGCTATATGGCACTCTGGTACACGTAGGCCCCCGTCTCTTTGGCAGCACAGCACTGAGCAGTTTGAGCATTATGGTCAATGAATCCGTTAATTATAAAGAGAACAGAAACAAACTATTTTTATCCATGAAAATCTCGAGTTAATGATTTTCACGCATGCATGCCTGAGCCAGTGCCACACCCAATCTACAATTGCCATGAATTTTGGAGCAACCGGCGTTAAAATTTATTCATTAAAAATCCAAATTTTGGATGCAGCTCATACTTTCAATGCTGTATTATGTATCTGAAAAAAATTATAAAAAGCAAGAATTCTCTCCTAGTCATTTTCGGCAAAATTTGATGGATGACCCTGCAACTACTTGATAGCATTTAGCATATGATGTACTGCTAGTATGAGTAGTATCTCTTACCCTCCAGTGGGGATGCTATATAAAAATATATGGTACAATTAGTGATTTGCAGTTGACTCTAGGATGGGTCATGAAGGACAAAATGGGAAACTTCCTGTGTTTAAAATTCCCTTTGAGATTAAATGCCAGGTAGCCTACAGTAACAATTATGTCGAATGCTAGTTTTCCCCTTCATGAAGTGGGAAAAATACTATCTTAATTGACATTTTACTCATCCCCACTACCTGATAGAAGTTATTTTCAAAAAGATCTAATGCTATAGCCTGGCATGGAGTGTTTGGCTTAGATTATAAAGCATTATGAATCACCAAAAATTACTGCCAGATTTTACATGATGATTATTATCATTCAAATGCTTTTATAAAAAATATGCCTCATGTTTTTCATGTAGGCTATCGACCAGTAGAGAGGAGTTACCACTCCTCTGTACAGGTAGGAAACTACATGTATATGTGGGGTGGGGACCAACGTAATCTCCCTGCTGTACACAATAATGAGGAGAAGAAATCAATGTGCTCAGTAATGGAAGTGTACCATTTACTGACTGGCAGATGGGAGCAGAAACCCACCACTGGTAACCCTCCACTGGGGGTGGTTGGCTATGCAACTGCTGCTATTGAAACTGAAATCTTTTATTTTGGAGGATGGTGTCGTCATGATAATTGTAATCATAATAGCTTATACAGGTATAAACATAATAGTTTATGATTAGTATTATATGCATTTTATCTAGCTTTAATGTTGATACCTTCAACTGGAAGGAACTCTCCCCTACTACTCCTCATCATGGTCCTATGATGAAGTGGCGTTGTGATATGGCAGCTGTGCAAATAAATGGGGAAAACTATCTTGTAGTAATTGGAGGAACTGGACCATCTTTTAATAATGCACCCAAACAGCCTGGTGCCCAGTACCAAAAGTGCCAGTACAGTAGTAATAATGAAGTGCACGTTTATAAACTCTCATCAGGTCAGTATAACAACACAATAATGTTAATAAGATACAAACTGATCATTAATTATTATTTAGGACAGTGGATATCACTGACTGTCACTGGAGACAGACCACCTCCTATTAGTATCTTCACTTTGACATCAATTAATTGTTCCAGTGCAATATTATTTGGAGGTAAAACTGCAAATGGAAGGAGTAACAATGTATATATCCTTAATTTTACTGATACATCAGTGGTGAGTAATGGTTACATGTATTATTTTTGTACATAACACTGGTTATAGACTTCTAGAAATGAGAATGGTAAGGCAACATACGCTGTAATTGATCACCATTTTGACAGCAACATTAAATTTTGATAAGAAGCTAGGATTGCAGATTGGCCTTTGTCAGCTACAAAAGTTGACTGAAAAAATAGAGCTAGGCCTGAGCAGTGGAATCACTATCATGATAGCAAAGCTAACACACTTTCATTTATTTCAACAATTAATTCTCATAAATTGAAGTTATTATAATGAAAAAAGTCAGCAACACCATAGTAAAGTTACATATACCGTGTAGCGGGAATATTTGGAGGGGCTAAAATTTGGCGAATTGCTAAATTTTGATGATTTGGTGGATTTTAAGTTGGCGAATTTGTGGCCATGTGCCATTAGCATGCGTATAATGGCTCAAAATGGCAGATTTTTATTTTGGCAAATGGCTATCAAAATGCCAAATTCGCCAAATTTAATCCCCTTCAAAATTTCTCACCATATGGTAGTAGCTTGATGTGTTGTTGCTAGCATGATAATTTTTCAATTACAACTGGCAGGAATAATAGTGCCACAACTTTCCTCTTGCATGAGGGAGAAGATTGTTTGTCAACTCTGATGTTATTGACCATCTTTATTATAGTATAGCACACTGGCTAGATCCAGCTTAGATATTAGTTACAATCACATCGTGATAGCCTCTAGACTATTGTGATAGTGAGTGAGTGGATTTGAAACTATTGTCCATGTCTGCTACAATGCATCTCATGCAGGCTTGGTGCTATGTGCAGTTTGTTACAGCTTTCTTTCTATGCTAGCCCTTATGAAAGTTGTTAACAATAACCTAACCATTTTTGATCTAGAGGCCTATATGAGTGTATGCATAAGTATGACTATGATTATTTTATTGTTTTAGGATTGTTCAAAATTGTCTAATCCTAGAGGATCGGTACAATGGCCTAAGGGAAGATCTGCTCATTCCAGTGTATTGATTAACACTAGCTCAGGACCACACCTACTAGTGGTGGGTGGTATGACCTATGATTTTTGGATATTCGATATTATAAATAAATTATGGAAGCAACTGGTAAGTTTAACGTTATGCTGTTGTTGTGGTTTAAACATTTTGGGTATAGGGCTGTGCATGATAATGAAATGTACGATTTTATTTATTACAATCCTCCTTTATAGCTTAATATGCCAAAGAATGTCACTAATAGATACAATCATTCTCTCTCAGTATTAAATGTGACACCAGCCACTAACTGGATAATTATTTTTGGAGGACTCACATCATACAATGATACAGCAGTTGTTGAACTCAGTGAGTACATGTAGCTTGTAGATACATGTTGAATATACCATAGATTGAGAGATTTTCATGTTAAAAATACCGTAGGACGAGCATTTATTGGTTTGGGTGTGGTTTATAATCATGACCGACAGACCAGCATCAAAGAGCTCGAAGGTAGTGATCCATACAAGAATATAACAGGATAAGAGAGCTGGATAGCTCCACTAAAGCTGCTAAAGATAGCTGATTAGCTGCCGAACACTGTAATTGTATAAACACGTGGTCAATCGCCATAGAAACTATCTAAACTGTTTCCATGGAAATTCTTATTAGCATTCACAAAAATTAGTCGTCCTACGGTAATTGGTGTGAAATTTTTTCAATGTATTTTATTTTTGTTGGTTGACCCATCCATGAAATTTCAACATGAAAATTTTTTGGATGCGTCATAAGCTGGACATGTGGCTACTAACTTTTGATGACGATGGGCAGCTATTCAATGGAAGTTGATCGTGACAGCAGTGACTGAAACTGACAAGGAGCCTCTTGGGTGAGAGCTTCAGGCCTTCTTTGGGCTTTTAGAAGAATTAACCTTGTGCATACACTGCTGCACGTTTACTCGCAATTTCGGTAATCTTATTATTTGCTGTAGAAAATATTACGTGTTTTAAAATTTTGTGGGTCACTTTAACCACAAAAATATAGCAAAAAAAATTCCCTATCTACGGTAAGACTGTATGGCTAGAAAATTTGGTTGAGTAAAATTTTAGTAAATTTATCCTTTGGTATTATCCTGTTGGTATAGGATATTGTTTCACCAGAATACATGTACTACTGTATAGCCGGAAAATTTGGCGGTTTTGCATCAAATTGCATAAATATAATATTGGCAGTCTTTTAATTTGGCGGTTTACTATCTTGTCTTTTCTTTAAGCACTCTCAGCTCTTCTTCAAGCTGCTCCTTGCCAGTCCTTGCCCACAGTTTTGACTGAAATAGTGAGAAATACTCAGAAATACTGTCATTTTGGCATTTTTGGCCTCGCCTACGCGAGGTATAGGTAGTTGTTGTGTGTGTCTGTCATTACCCGAGACCGCGTAGGCGTTGTCGAGGGTAAAGCAGTCGTCCTGTCTGTGTGTTCGCTTTGACCTCCACTTTTGAGCTGACACTGCTTTCTTGTCTTGTCCTAGAGAGACTTATAATCAACACTGGCTCTAGAAAAAGTTATTCTCTGTCTTGGGAATCCTTGATTTGTCTTTTCCGTGGTAAAAGAAGCTGGCAAAGTCGCCAAACGTAGTCGGCTCTCCTGCAGCTCTTTCGTAGTGAAAGCAAAAGAGCAACAGGGCAGATAAAACAATAAAGCAAAGCCTCAAATTTCATTAATATGAGAGGAATTGCTCAACTCTTGTTCGTTTTAAAGATATGATAGCCCAAACTTTCATACCTTGTGAGTTTAG